AGAGGACAAAACACTAGCGATAAGTATGAGGTCACTTGACGAGACACTGAATCTGAGGACAGTGTACATGTACAAGCTCTAAAGAAATTACAGACCATAGTGAAACCAAGTGTTCTGCCTTGATGACGGCTTGGCAAGATTACGCTGCCCCGATGATGGCCACCCCCTCCGTAACGGAGTCCGTTGCCAAGATGGACGCGCTATGATCACTAGGACCTCACCTTGATGCAGTCTCACTTGCGCAGCTTAAGCAAGAGCGACTTGTTGCCCTTAAGTTTCTTCTGGAGCTGCATGACACCGAACAGCAGGGCTTCGGCAGTCGGAGGACACCCTGGCACGTAGATGTCCACCGGGATGATGCGATTCACACCTCGCACCACGGAGTATGAGTAGTGGTAGTAACCGCCACCGTTCGCGCAGCTTCCCATCGAGATGACGAACTTTGGCTCGGGCATTTGGTCGTAAATGCGACGGAGGGCAGGCGCCATCTTGTTGGTGACGGTGCCAGCGACGATCATGACGTCGGTGCATCGAGGCGACGCACGGAAGAGCAGACCCATACGCTCAAAGTCGTAACGGGAGCCGGCTTTGGGGTACAGTTAGCTGTGGTGAATTGGACACAGAACCAAGAGGCAGCGTACCGGTGTGCATCATCTCGACGGCGCAGCAGGCCAGTCCAAAGGATAGAGGCCACAAGGAGCTCTTTTTACTCCAGTTCATCAAGTCGTCGAGGCGAGACACGACGTACTCTTCAGACCACAAGGCGTTTGTTAGAAGCGAAGCACAGCTAACACCTTTCCATGGGACGTACCAGCTCCATTTCGCGCTACAGCATTGCCAGCAAGAAGATCTCCGATGTCACCACGTTGCTGAAGCGCAGACTCGCTCGCCACAGTTGAAGTCGTGTGGAAGACACGATCGCAACTAGCGACTCCAGTTGTAGGCGTTGACACGCCACGTCGAAGAAGTTTTGAGCCAGCGCGCAACATGAACTTTAAACCAGCTACCTGGGTTCTCAAGAATGTGCTCTGGTCTCGAGGAGGCTACAGCGGATATGGCCTCAAGGCCTACCAATTTGTAGCCCTCCGTTTACTCGCGACGACGATGATGTCAAGCTACTAGGAACAGGCCAATGAAGTTCGAGCTTGTTTCGTTCAGACAACTCAGCATTGAACTTTCAACGATCCAAGTGATTACTGCATGGAACTCAACATGGTTCATTACCGGTATCTACACCGCGGCCAGGAGGTACGTAATTATGGTAGACACATGTGGTGTAGTGTTCATCCAGATTCATTTTGCTTTTGTCTTCTCTCAACGTTATACAGATGCTCGGTACAGCATTATCTCCCTGAGCCAAGCAAGCCAACGCCGAGTGTCTACTTCCTCAACTTGAGCAACAGCGACTTGTTGCCCTTGACCTTCTTCTGAAGCTGCATGAGACCGAACAGCAGCGCTTCGGCTGTGGGCGGGCAGCCGGGCACGTAGATATCCACGGGGATGACACGGTCCACGCCGCGCACCACAGCGTACGAGTAGTGATAGTAGCCACCACCATTGGCACAACTGCCCATGGAGACCACGTATCGCGGCTCGGGCATCTGGTCGTACACGCGACGCAGAGCCGGCGCCATCTTGTTGGTAAGCGTTCCAGCGACGATCATCACGTCCGTCTGACGCGGCGACGCACGGAACACCATACCCATACGCTCGAAATCGTAACGAGAACCAGCTGCAATGTGGAGATAAGCGTTAGCTTGAGAAGCAGCGAGAAAGAGGACACACGACGTACCGGAGTGCATCATTTCGACGGCGCAGCAGGCCAGACCGAACGTGATGGGCCACAGCGAGCTCTTGCGACCCCAGTTCACCAGATCATCGACGCGGGACACGACGTACTCTATGAGGGGATAATTATTACGGTTAAAAGGCATCTACAGGTCGAGGGATTGTCTGGAGAAGGACGTACCGACGCCGTTGCGGGCAGTGGCGTTGCCGGCCAGCAGCTCCTGGATGTTGCCGCGCTCGGCGGGAGCCGAGGACGTAGAGGTGGCGGGAACCGCCGAGGCGCAGCGGACGGCGGGCGTCCGGGCCAGAGCTCCTGAGCGGCGCACGAGAGACAGCATGGTGGGCTACAGAGGTCGATCGATTCTAGCCGCCCGCTAGGGAGGCCACAACCACCAAAATACCTGTGAAAGACGATTGTGGAGACAAATGAGAATGGAGAGGATACATGGAATTGAAGGTGTTTTCGACCGGTTGTTCGCATTCGCGGAGATAAAAGGACAAAGGTGACGAGGGAATTGCAGGCTATTATTCGGATTATTTGGTGTGTCGTACGTAGGTAGGTTGAAGTGCTACGGACAGAGGCAAAGAGTGCAGCGGGGTGAGAAGAGCATTGCGGACGCCAGTCGACCAAAATGGTTGCCTTGTTCGCCAGTAACGCCTTCCTCTGCTTCAGGGTCTTCATTTTTACTGGATTGGACTTTCTTTTCGGTACCTTCGCCATTCAAACCAAGTACCAAGTAAGCTGCTTCGTGCGTTGAAAGGTAGTCCTGCAAGCTCTCCGCGATGGTACTAGTGCGCTCAACAGGCTGGATGTCCACCAGACCGTCAATCTGCTTAGCAGCAATGCGTTGAATACAACGTCAGATAGTTGAAAGCGGTAAAAACCTGATTCTTCGCTTACCTGAGCTCCCGCAATGATATGTCGGTACCTTTCGAAAGGTTCAGCGTCGTACTCGTCGGTGATCTGCTTCTCGTAGAAATGAACAACGCGGAGAATATCCACTGGTCGCATCAGCTTGAGGACAGCATTGATGCAGCGACCTGCAACAGCTGACTTGTCAACGGCAACTACGAACACGTACTGCTTACTGACCACCGAGTTCACTGGGGCCGGAGGCACGATTATTGTTGGGATCGAGGAGACACAACGTAATACTTCCCGTGGAACGTGATGGACTTGGTCTATTGCTGGGCCCCCTTTGCCATGGGCTCCTAAAACGAGGAAATCGACCTGCTCTCTCTCCGCGATCAGCATAAGTTGGTGGGCGACTGATCTCTTGGTTTTGCACTCGTCACAGGTGATCGTGACGCGATTGGTAGGTAGTTGTAGCCGCGCACAATGAGCCTTATACTCTGCATATTTTCAGTTAGTGTACCATTTATTTTGACGGAGAATGTAGCACGCACCTTCAGCGATGAATTCACCGGAAATCTGCGGAAGTTGGCGACTAGCTGCCAGCTCTTCGTCTACGTTAACGATCACAAGTTGCCCTTGCCGTCGTAGCCGCGCCGCCAGCTCAAAAGCAACATAAGCTTGGCCTATATTTCCAACGCATTAGCTAGCAGCTAGCAAATTGTATTCCAATTGATAAACTTACGGCTGCCATCAACTCCGACCATGAACTTTGCAGTTGGAGACAGGCATTTGTTGTCAAGATGCTCTGCAGCAAACCCACACCGCGTATCATAAGTGCGTTAATATCCAAACAGCATTAATATTACTCGTAGGCCTCCACTGTAGATATACCTTCTTCCAGTCTACTGCGGAGCTCAGTGAGTGTAGCGTGGAGATCCAAGAAGAGACCGGACTCGCTTTCGCGCGCCGCCACCGCTGGATCATAGTCGGCGTCGTCCATCAAGTTGCAAAGCTGTTCGTGAGTCCATTCCGATATATCCTCTGGCACGAGAGTTTTGAATTGTGCAATGACTTCATCAGGACGATCTAGCAAGTGGACTCGGAACGTCTCATCGGTTAGTTCTGGCTACAAAGCATCACAAACAATTATCAGACTTTACCATACCACTTACAAACAACTCACATACCTCTTTAATGCTCAATATCAACCGCGTGATCTGGATACACAGCCGCAACGCCGGTGATAACTTCTTGAACGCCAACACATCGAGCATCTTCAACTGGCACCCTTTCACGAGCAGTAATAAAACGGTTATAAAACCGGAGTAAAACCAGTATTTCGTAGTAAAAACTGATTTAAAAAAAACCTCGACAAAACCGTTTTTCAGCAGTATATGCCGGTATGATAAAAGCAGTTTATGCCAGTATAATAATAGCAGTTTATACCGGTTTTTATCGGTTTCTTCAGTCGTAGCCACAGTCACTATCTGGTCACGATGCAGGAGAGTGGCGAGCTGCACCCGGCGCAGGTGCTCAAGAGCGGCCACGACGTGGGATCAAGCCACTACGCGGGCGGCGTGCCGCCCCACAAGCGCATGCGCAAGCCTATAGTGCGCAAGAGTGTAGACCCCAACGCTACCTTCATTAACTACATAACCCAGCGCCGCTTTGTTCAGGCTCGCAGCGTTCGCTCGCATGCGCTGCCGCCTCACTCGTTCTACAAGAAGCAAATGCTGCCGCCCATGGCCTACCCGGGGGACGACGATCTGGCCTCGTGTGTGTGCACCAAGTTCTGCCGCTGCTCTACCAACAAGCAGCGCTGCCCCGTTAACTGCCTCACATGGACGCCCGAAGGCCGCCGCCTCATCACGGGCAACTCGGTGGGCGAGTTCACGCTCTGGAACGGCCTGGCTTTCAACTTCGAGACCATCTTACAGGCCCACGACGACGCCGTGCGAGCTATGGTGTGGTCCCACAACGATAACTGGCTGGTCACGGCCGATCACGGCGGTGTGATCAAGTACTGGCAGTCCAGTATGACCAACGTGCAGCTGTTGCAAGGACACAGAGAAGCTGTGCGCTCGCTGAGCTTCTCACCGACGGATTTCAAGTTTGTCTCGTGCTCAGATGATGCAACGGTGAAGATCTGGGACTTTGAGAGTGGTCGCGAGGAGCGCGTGCTCACAGGACACGGTTGGGACGTCAAGTGTGTGGCTTATCATCCGCAGAAATGTCTGCTAGCTAGTGGTAGTAAAGACAACTTGGTGAAGATCTGGGATCCCAAGTCGGGAAACAGTCTAAACACGCTGCACGGACACAAGAACACGGTGTTCAAGGTGGCGTGGAACTCGAACGGTAACTGGCTGCTCACGGCCAGTCGTGACCAACTGATCAAGATCTACGATATCCGGATGCTCAAGGAGTTTGCCACGCTCAAGGGCCATGCGCGCGAGGTCACGTCCATTGCGTGGCACCCGTGGTATGAGCGTCTCTTTGTCAGTGGCTCGTACGACGGATCACTCATGTACTGGGAAGTCGGGTACGTTATCCTTCACTTTTAAGGTGGATGCAAAGTTTATTGATAATATGTGTGCTTTTACAGCAAGGAGAACGCGCTGGCGTCCATTCCACAGGCCCACGACACTGCCGTGTGGGACATTCAATGGCATCCTGTCGGTCATGTTGTCGCGACTGGAAGGTACGTTTACTCGACCATTGCTTGCTCACTCCTTGGAATTATTTAGCTTACTATATGACTGTACAGTAACGATCACAGCACGAAGTTTTGGTGTCGCAATCGACCGGGAGATCCGATGGACGACAAGTACAACGGCGGACAGACTGTGCTCAATGAGCACGAGACTGGCGAGGCAGTGGTGCACATGCGTGCAGCCACAGATGGTGCTGAAGTATTGCCTGGAATGGCGGACGGTGCCGCCAGCCTTCGTTCAAGCGCGATCAATGCAGCCAACTTCCAAACATTTAACAAGTCAGCCACAGACAACCGCGGGAATGGCGGTCGTCGTCCACCGCCCGACTCGTACACGTGCAATCGTTGCGGAACCAAGGGCCATTGGATCGAGGACTGCCCCACTAAAGACCAGCATAACCCCAGCGGCCAGATGCAGCGCAAGATCCCGCCTGAAGGGTATTTGTGCAAGCGCTGCAACATTCCTGGCCACTACATCTCCGACTGTACCGAGCCTAAGGTGCCGCCTCCGTCGTATACTTGCCACAAGTGCCGTCAAAAGGGTCACTGGAAGCAGGACTGTCCAATGGATGGGAACGGCGCTATCAATGCGTTGCTTAACCAGATTCGTCCTCAAGGCACTCCCGTAGTTAACACTGCAGTTCCGATGAGCACTGGTGGGGTGGGTCCTGTTCCTCCTCCTCCGCTATCAGCTCGAGGATTCCCTCCAAGAGGGATGATGCCCCCTCCACCGCCTGCTGGAGGTGCTGGACTGTTGGTGCCTCCGCCGCCTCCACCGCATATTCTTGCTGGCATGAAACGTGCTCGGGATGACGATGTCGGTGCTGGTATGCCACCGCCGCCCATGAACGGCTGGCCGCCTATGGCAGGCGGTCCGCCACCTCCTGGACTCGTGCCTGGTCAACCCGATCTTAAGAAACTGAGTCGAGATCCGCGACGGAGGTAGAGATGCACTGGAGACCTTATTGTTGGACAGCTAAGAGACGATTGATCGTCATTTTGACGAGTTCGGAGAGGAGAAAACGAGTGATAGTACTTAGTAGCGAGCCGAAAATGAATTGAAAGTGCTGGACACTGCCACGTTCTTCATTTTACTGTTTGTTGAGCTTACTTAACTACCACTTGTATACCGGTGCTATTGCTTTGACAGTGTTGACGCCTTGGGATTGCGCAGCTGTTGAAGTTCGGTTCAACTTGACCTGGGCTCCACGCAGATGTGAAGATCGCGTGAAAGAATCCACGCGTTTGACAGCGAAGCCCGCCTTGGACTCCAAGGCAAAGCAGCAGAAAGCACCAAGATGCCCACCATGCTGGGCTCAGCTTCTGAGCTCAACATGGTGTGCTGAGGCTTCATCCTCTCGACCTTAGTTTATCGTCATATGGTGTGACTGATTTCAGTCAACGCTGGAGGGGATCGGACTTTTGATCTGAGACTTTGTGCTGCTGCATGTAAAAATGTACGCATTTCCTGCTGTGCCGGCCCACACTGTTGTCGTTGCTACAAGCATGCGCGCGCAATTTGCGCCAAGCTTTCTGCGCCACATCGAGGCGTCTTGCATGGGGGTCCGCTGTCGGCGGCCATTTTCGACGTAGGACAGAGTTCAGAACAGCGTCGTCTGCCTCTCAGCCTGATTATTTATAGTTTTACAACAAACTTTTTCTATGGCGTTTTCCAGCTGCTTTTTCGCAGAACCCGCGACAACCGGCCGGCTTATCTCCAACACCTTGAAAATTAAGCACAAAAAATAGGACCAAATGTTAGAGCCTTTGCCTGGCATCATTATCAATAGGTAGTTACTAGTATGTGGTAGTAGTACTGCCATAGTCATATACTACCTAAAGGTTTCTGTACGTTGTATAATTTTCGTAGTGTCTAGTTCAACAGGGCGAAAATGTAATACGAAGTTTGTCACTAGTAACAAAGCATACGTGAGTTTTGTCCTGGATTATAGGACAAAAACCTCAATTAAACTTTAGGTTCATTATGTGGCACTTCACTTTGGAAGCCTCCATAGAACCTCTGTTTGTCAGGAATAGCTGTTATATATGATATATCGCACTTAAGCTGTGTCGAAGAGTCTCCTTACAAACTTCAAGTTAGTTTTTGTCCTATAAGGACAAAATCGGCCATAGCTTCATCGTACTTAAACGAATTTTGGTCCTTTTTTCAAGGACAAAAACTGTTGGGCTTATATCAACGGCCATTTCCATTTTTTCCCAGTTAGAAAAAAGCGCGCCGGGGAAGCCAGCGCGATGAAGACGCAGGGCGACTCGGACCGGAGCGCCCACGTGCCGTCCACCGCACTCCTATTACAGCAAACCCGAGCCTCTGTGCCCATGTCCGCGAACCAGCGTCACAAACAGCTCACGGGCGGCTCCTCCGACCGCTTGCGTAGCCCCGAGGACCGTCGTCACACCGCGGGACGACGACACAGCCACGTCCCGGCGGCCCCGGTGTCGGCGCCCTCGTATCAGCATCTCGGCGCCATCGAGAGCGTCCGTACGGCGCTTAGCAGCACGGGAGGCGTGAGCGCCGGCGCGAATAACGTGGGACACGAGGTCATTCTAAGCGGCGCGCTGAATAAGCGCGGCCAGTTCTTCAAGACGTGGCTGCCTCGCCACTTGGTGCTGTCTCGAGGTGCTCTTCAAGTATACAGGAAGAACCCGTACGTACAGCAACGAGAGAAGGACGTAGCGCGGCTGGAGAAGAAGCTGCTGAAGATGGAAGTAAGCAGAGCCGATGCCATCCGCGTAGAGTCCACGGACGCCTTCAAACACCACCCTTTCTGCTTCATCCTCGTGGCACGGAAGCGCTCGCGACGCTTGGGCATATTAAGCAGTAATGATGACGCCACAACGAGGAGCGCCGTCAGCTTCAGCAGCGCGGGAGGCAACTGCTTCCAGCACCGTAAGGAGAGCAACTTGGACTCCCGACGGCTTGATGACGGCCCCGTCGTGCTGTATTATCTTCAAGCCAGTAAAGAAGCCGAACGGCAGCGCTGGATTCGCGCTCTACAGCGCTGGATTGAAGGCGAGAGCCCGGCCAAACTGGGACGTGGGATCCTCAACTACATTGTGAATAACGAGTACAGTAACTTCCGCTACGGACAGAAAGTAGTGAGCAGTGGATCCTCCAGGTCTGTGGTGGGTGACTGCGGGTCTACCGCGGCCTTATCCCCGGCGTCACAGGCTGGACGCAGTGTCGAACAGGAGTTCCCGGTGCTCGCGAATTTGATCCGTGACATGCACGACTGTAAGAAGGAGGACGAGATGATTTACATCCTGGACCAAATTTTAGGAGAAGTGCAGGACGGTGCGAACAGCGGTTACATCAAGAAGCTCATTGCCACGGCCGGAGAGGTGAAACTGGAGCAGTCGGAGCACATCTGGACGACTCATGTAAAGACGGCGTACGCTAATATTATGAAGGCGTTGCAGACGGCGTCCTCAGGACAGGAACCCAGCAGCCAGGCACCGACACTGCGAGCTCCTACGTACGCGATGCGTCAGAATTCAGCTGGTAGTATTGACTCGAGTGAGAGCAACCGGTCGCTGAACAATGTGGACTTGGCGTCGTTCCATAGATTCTACAAGCTCGGACGGAAGCTGGGATCGGGTGCCTTCTCTGTAGTGCACATTGCCACTCACAGAGAGACGAGGAAGCAGGTTGCTGTCAAGTGTATCGCTAAGGCGAGTCTGGGGCCTCAGGACGTGCATTCTTTGAAGCAAGAGGTGGAGGTTATGTCGAGTTTGAACCACCCTAACATCGTGCCGTTGTTAGACTACTTTGAGGAGGACAGATACTACTACATTGTGACGCCGTTGTGTACCGGTGGCGAGCTGTTCGACGACCTGGTGAAACGTAAGAGTTATACAGAAGAAGACGCCCGTGTACTCATGCGGAAGCTGGCGAGCGCCATTGACTACCTTCACTCACGTGGTATCGTGCACCGTGACTTGAAGCCTGAGAATATTTTACTCAAGACCTCAGCTCCTGGTGCCGAGGTGATGATCGCGGACTTTGGTTTCGCTAGACCCATGAATGGCTCACGTCGCGGCACTGCGTGTGGCACTCCAGGCTATGTGGCACCAGAAGTGGTGCAGGGCGAACCGTACGGCGCCGAAGTGGATTGCTGGAGTCTTGGTGTTATTCTCTTCATCCTGCTGTGTGGATACCCGCCGTTCCCTGGCGCTAACCACGCGACGGTGCTTGATAAGGTCGTAAAGGCCGAGTACAAATTCGAGTCGCCATACTGGGACGAAGTGTCCGATGAGGCCAAGGATTTGGTGACGGAATTGTTGACTGTGGATCGTACCAAACGTCTTGATGCGTCGGGTATTCTGGCTCACCCGTGGATGGACGAGACACGTGCGTCTGCCATCAGTATCACGGATGACAATGAAGTCAAGAAGCGCATCACTCGCAAGTGTTCGGACCTGCTGCCGGCGTTGCACCAGATGCGCAAGCACAGCTTGACCCACGGCAGCCCGAAGATCCGTCCGTCCGATATGAACGTGGACGATATCGAACTAGACGAACTGACCATGAACAGCGACAAGGAAATGCTCGAGCGTGAGCTGGCTGACATGGACGGCTTCTAGAGTGAGGGTTATCATTGGAAATAACCCCATTGTAAGTGACCTGCTGAGCCCCCGGAGGCTCAAGAGTCTTCGGAGTTGTGTGTATTCATGTGTGTAGTTGCATGCCTATGGTCCACTAGGCTTTGAAACTAATTGGGTAAAATAACAAACAACATTTGTATTTGCAACGTGCTCAGAGTCCCATATCTTCGGCCTCTTTTAGAGCGATCTGCGTCTGGATCGCTTCTCGGGTCATGAGCTCACAGAAGGCCTCAAAGTCCAGCGCTGACAACAGGAGTTGCAAGTTTCCCGTCGCGTCCTCGTGCTTGGGACTGCGTTGCAACGCTCGACAGTGCGCAAAGAACTCGTTGGGGGAAAGCTACGACAACACTAACGTAGATAAGCGCCCACAATTGTTGCGTTGCGAAGTAGAACTGTCCAAGGGCTTACCTTTTCTTGGCGGAGGAAGGTCGCAATGACGTCTTCGAACACTTTTTCGTAGCTCTACAAGCAACAAAACATCAATGAAAAGTATTGAGTTGACGGTCATGAAAAGACAAGCATTCCTCTAACCTTGAATAGTTCATGCACCTCGTGACCATGTTCTTCATCCGCCTCTACTCCATGGAACGAAGCAGCGTGTCTGGCAACAGCCACATTAACCTAATGACAAATAACCAAGTTGCCAAGTTGCTACCAACTTTTGCACGAACCCCGACAGCATCGCCTCCACCTCCTCTAACAACGCAATGCATCAGTCCTCTAGACACTCCTCATGAACCAACTGACTCAAACCTTGGTCACAAAAGGCAACTAGTCTTGCCACCACGAGGTCCGAACTCTCCACTGCCAGCAACACTTCGTCCATTTTAGCCCGCCTCTTCAACTTACAAAACCAAATTTACTTGCATTTTGTATGCGATGAAAAATACCACCCTCGCTTCGATAAGCCATTTCTCCAGTTTGTGACCATCAATGGAAGCGCGTGATGCGATCGTATCGTGGCTGGAGCAGGACGACAACTTCTTGCGTGTAACAGCGTCGTCCCCGTTCTCTCCTTCCACCCGCCGCGGCAGCGTCAACCTGCGCGACGTGGTACAGACTGAGAGCCAAGCGCTCAACGAGCTCGCGGCGTTCGTGAACCGGAATCTCCCAGGCTCAAACTGGGACTCTAGACACGCTAAACAGATGCTTAAGCACTACCTGCTGGAATACCGCTCCACGGCCGAGATGGCGGCAAACCCCCAGTTCATACTGGACGAAAGGGACGAGCTGCTTGGGATCCGGACGGTGCAAGCCAAGCTAAACGCCATGTGTCGCCATTTCCAGCGACTGCAGCAGCTCCATGATCCCGTGGTGATTGCCACCAAGGAAGGAGAGAGGAAGAGGATGGAGAGAGGGAACGAGAACCAGCAGAGCAATGGACAAACGCAGGAACAACCAAACGCGACCCAGATAACGCACGTGAAGGTGCATATCGACTTGATGGAGACTCAACCCAGTGAGAGGGAGGAGCTGGTGCCTGAGAGTGAATTGAGTAACTCGTATGAGAACAGTGAGACGGACAGAGAGACGTCTCTCAGGGAACGGTGTAATAACTCGATAGTGCATGAAGTTGGATCGAAGAAGGAAGCGAATCAAGTGATCAATGGAAAGAAAAAATACCTGGAAGTTGTGAGTAAAACGAAACCAGGCAAGCAGAATCTAAAAGGAAAGAAGAATATTACGAAATTGACGCAGACGCACAAGAAAAAAGAGGTGATACTATCGACTCCTCTGGTCACGCTAACATCGGGTGAAGAAAAGGAAGACGAAAGGTTCTCGAGTATCAGCAACTCTAGTCGAGGAAAGAAACGATTGACGAGGTCACCGTTGAGTAAGGGTGGTGGTAATTCTCCGAAGTCTAAGAAAAAACAACGCGTGGAGACTCTAACCGAGAATAATGGTGCAGTGGACTTAACACCCACTCAAACCACGCAACCAGTTACCAGTTCTGCTTCTGAAGGCTCACAAGATTCCCCATCGAACGAAGCTGTGAATGGCTTGCCATCTTCATCTTCTGTTCAAGGCCAACGCGTTACTGCATCTAAACAGAGAAGGCAAGACGCCAAGGATGCAGCTCAAAAATCGACCGTCGTACCAGATGCCTTGCGCTCGGCAATCGCCCAAGTTGTTTCGCAGCGTCAACAGCTTTTATCTCGTCAGGGTAGTCGGAGTGACAGCGACTCTGGCACGAGCGATATCGATGCTATGAATCCTATTCCAAGCGCATCTCATAGTACCCCGCCAGTGGATACCCCTCCCAGTCGATACGAACCGGTACTGTCTGCAGGTTTTCTTCCGCCGTTAATTGCCATGTCAAAAACCTTTAGCGAAAAGTCGAATATGGAGCGGAAGCGCGCGCTCTTCCGCGCTAAGCAACTCGCCTTCGAGCAGCTGAGATGGCAGCGTGAGAACGAACTCCAGCAGCTTGAGTTGAGCTTGCTACGCCGCGAAATGGAAGCCCGCCAGAGTCTCGTTCAACAGGAGCTCAAGCTCCAGAGAATGCGCATGCGAGCTGACCTCATCCAGCCCATGATTGCTGCTGGTGCTAACGTTACAGAGATTGCTGAACGATTGAGGTTACTCTAGGTCACTCTCAAGTGCATTTCTATTTCTAAATGGTGCATTTGGAGTTGTGGTAATGGTCCCAAGTTGGAATCAACCGTCGGTGAAGCCTGATGGAGTAGTTGGCGGTGCAACGCAACGTCATTGTGGCCTGGCTGGAGCAAGGAGATCATTTTCTACAGGCAACAGCGTTCTCAACTCTATCTGGAGTTTATCCGCGTCCTAGTGTCTCTCAACTTCAAGCGGCCGAACAGATCGAGTGTCAGGCCTTATGCAAGTTGGCAGCGACGGTAAACGCTGCTGTGCCTCAATCTCATTGGAGCGGTGCGTATGCCAGGCAAGTGCTGCAGCGCTATCTAATGGAGTTCAGGGCGGCGGCGAGACAAGCGTCGCTACCAGGGTTTACTGTAAATACAACGGACGAAGCATTCGGTATCCGAACAAGTGAAGACCAACTCAACGCGATGTGCCCACACTTTATGAGATTACAACTGCTGCATAACTCAAGGATACGGGCAGCTATGAGAGGTGGTATCCTGTTTGAAATAAACCAAGAGAAGACTACCGAAGTGCCGTATGTTGATGAATGTACTCACCAAGGTAAGATGATGCCATGGGAAGGAACTGTAGACCTCCAGTCAATCCAAGGAGGCACACCCTATCCTCTAGAAGTCACGGAGCCTCCAAATCAAGGCCATAACACCGAGGGTGTGATGGCAAAAAGCCACTTTCGTCCAGACGTATCAATGGAGCATAGAACAGAAGATACTGTGGTCAAGAACAAGGACAAAAGCTTTCCGAAAGAGCTTACGCCTCCGAACACGGTGATGAAGCGAGTGGTGTCGGCTAAGCGTAAACAGAGAGAGCAGCAGGAGAAGGAGAAATATGTCAGAATGCCCAACTTCACGGCTAATGGAGAAGATGACGATCTTCCATTCTTCCGTAGTAAAGCGAGGGTGATCAAATCCACGACTTCGAATAGTGAAGAACAGTGGCTAAAGCGGAAGTCGAGACGGGAAGCGAGTCCAGGGAAATCGAAACAAAGTGAGCAGAAAACACCCCCACGAGCCACGAGGAGTTCAGTTAGAACACCAACTCGTGTGACATGGAGCACACCAAATCGAATCAAGAAGTCACTGGGAAATGCACGAAAGCGTTCACCGAAGATCGCCCGGTAGATAAATCTGTTAGCAACACCTCGGAGTCTGAAAACCCAGCAGCCAAGATTGAAATGAGCACTGCAGCTCTCAAGGAATTACTAGCGACGAATGGAGCTAGAAGCATCGCAGGTGCACCGAATGCTGCTAAAGACTCGCCAGCAACAGGAGAATTTGTGAACGGTAAATACTCAGAGACACTGAACGCAACTAAATCTGATCAACCTCAAGCAGCAGCACGTCAAGCTCTAGTGCGGGTTCTGGCTAGACCTGAAAATGGGATGCAAACTCTAGTAGAACCACAAAATGATACGCAACCGTCTACTCCGTCTCAAAGCGTCTCGATAACAGATACACAACCCTCCATACTAACAGACCTGCCAGTCCAAAACACTCAAGACACTGCTGCCTAGCCACGCTTTAAAGTTTCAGATGCGCTTTGGTTAGCTATTGCTCAAGTCGTCTCACAACGTCAGAGGCTACTTAACTTGCATCGCAGATCCATCAACCCGACTATAGCGACACTGACTACGCTCCAAGTGACCACGAGGATGAGGAAGAAAAGGCCTCCACTCCGCCAAGTCAAAGCACGAACAACGTCGGACCTCCGTACTCTCCTTTTGCCGCCGATAAAAGTGCATCTTTCGATGGAAAACTTAACAACCATGGCCAGCCCACAGTCTCAAGAAGTAGTAGCTCACCTAGTCCCAAGGCGACACTCATGACTGGCCATATCCCTCCACTGCTCAACGTGCCTCGTATTATCAGTGGTGGACACAATCTCGAGCGGAAACGAGCTTCTTTCGCGCTAAGCAGCTCGCCTTCGAGCAGTTCAAGTGAGAACCAGCTGCAGCATTAAGAGGTGGAGTTGTTGCGACACGAAATGAAGACGCGCGATGCCTTCGCCCAGATGGAGATTGAGCTTCAACGCATGCACATTCGAGCCGAAATTATCCAGCGTATGATCCTCACGGGTGCAAGTGTTGAAGACATCTTGAAACGATTGAAGATGCTTTAAATACTTTTTTTAACTTCAACATGTTCTAGTTTAAGTAAATCCGATTCTGATTGGCTCTTGAATTTATTGTAAACTCGAAACGACCAATCAAATCAATTTAAGAAAATGCATGTGAAGCGGTCACTGTCCCAGGCGGATCGTCGACGTCTTATCGCTGCGAGCGCTAGCGCGAGCGATTCGGATGTCACGGGGGAGCTCTCGGAGGACGATAAGCCGCTGAGATCCGTGGCGCAGAGAAAGAAGCGCAAGGTCGAAGGTCAGGAAACGCCACAAGCCAAGAAAGCCTCAAATGAATCTGAAAATGAAATAATCGAACCGATTTTTGAGGACGATTCGGCTGTTGATGAGGCAGAACTTCAACTTTTGGCAATTGAATCTCGGCGTCTCGACTTCGAGGTGGCCAAGTGGAAGCAGCACCAAGCGCTCAGGCACGAGACGCTGAAGCTCAAGAGTGAAGAGATCACTTTAAAAGAGACAACCACCAAGCAGAAACAGCAGACGCAGATGATGGAGCTCCGAGCAAGACTCATTCAGGCACTGGACGAGGCTGGTAAGGACCCTGCTGAATCCAAGAAATACCTCGCACTACTAGAAGAATGAAGACAAATGGAGAGAATGATCGGAATTCACGTAGTACAATTGATTATTCAGCGACAGGAGTGAATGCTGTACGTTTTTCACGTACCTAACATACCGCGGCAAAGTTACATCTCCTTGTCCATGAACTCCTCGTAACTCTGACCGAACAGCCGCTGCACGTCGCGTTCGATGTCGCTCTTGGACACCTTCCAGCCCGTGGCGAACAGCTTCTCGTACATGTCCACCAACACCTCGCCGATCACGTCGCGCGAGTGGCTCCACTTGTAGATGAGCTGGTCCAGCACACGCGCGTCCGAGTGCTGACTCGTGAACGCCGTGCCCAGGATCTCGATACGCATGCGTGTCAGCTCCTCGATGATCGACGGGTTGTTGCAGTACCACCAGCAGCCG